AAAACTGTTCCATTTTATATTATACATCTATATACGTATTACAAAGAGCTCAATCCTTGTTTTAATATTAATATACATTTCATGTATATAATTATTTATACTTCATTGTTTTTAAAAATAATTTTTAACTAACTACATTACTTCTTAAAATTATTTTGGTTGACAACTGGTGATTGACTATCGTACATTTATTTAGTTTTAAATGGCCACTGATATAAATAAATAAAATTTGAAAGACATGAGATGTGAAACTCTAAAGATATAAAATCTTAACTTCAAGAATTCTCTGTTTGGAAGATAAATCCTTCAATTTTATGAAATCTCTCTCTCTCTCTATATATATATATATATATATATAATATAAAATAACAAGCAATCAGCAGCTAACGTTAGGCCAGAAGACAATCGATTTACGGCAAATTATTGCAACAGTGATTTTTTTTGAAAGACAGAGATATAATATTCTCTTTTTATGAAACAAAAGAACTTTGCGTCTCTATTCTTCCAAAGCACCGCCACCTTCAGAACCCTTATCCCTGGACCGGGCCTAATTCGAGCGTCTAAAATAAACAAAAACATATACAAATGCAACTCTCAATAAGCACAAATATATCCATATTACGTATAAACATCCATCTCTGGACAAACAGCCAGCCAGGAACACTATCAGCATGTAATTCTACTTGATACATGTTGCTATGTATCTAACTTTTATACCACTTTCTATTTTTCGTTGTCTTTTATACGTTAGATATCGTAAAATTATCTTCCGAACAGTTAAATTCTCGAATTCGGTAAATATCTCAGAAAAGGGAAGCGAACCAATTGGAACAATATCCTTATTTTGTACTAGGATTTAATTAATTTGGCTGTAATTCCGTTCCGAAGATGACTCGTGTTATATTTAAATGAACTGTAGAGAAGTGGCCAGGACCTCAAATACATATAAAATTTTAACTACTTTAACTACTTTAACTTTAACTTCGGCAAAACAGTATTCTACGTATTATAATATTACAAACATTATTAATGCATAGACTAATGTAATGTTAAAAATTCTAGAAATCCTAACATTTCGTCTTCTAATCTTAATGATCACAGTTTAATAAAATGGCAAAAAAAGTTGCACAGCAATATAAGAATAATTATAAAATTAAGAAATAATTATAAAATTGTTTATTCAAAAGAGTTCATCCGAATCGTTCGAGAGCTCGTATTGAATTGCTCGTGCAGCCTTGCCTGCTGATCATCGTCCTTTGTCATCAGATTGTAGTCTTCTTTCTTCTGGTGATTCGGCGTTTATGTTTATATTTATTATATTTATTATATTCATACTTCCTCTATTACATGGATTCTATATACATACATATACCGAATTTCTTTACAGCAAGTTTTAAGATATTATTGAAAAAGACAATTTAAATTTTCTATGGTGGATTTCCAGTCATAAAAAAATTCTCACTATTTTTCAAAAACGTTAAATTTTTACAAATTTCGAAAATAGGAATATCTTTAATTTCTCACTTGCTACATAAGATATAAAAATATATTCAAAAAAGGTTTAGGGTAATCAAAGTAAATGTTTTATATTTTAAAAGGAATTCAAGTAAGCATGATTTTTTTTACAAAGTTATAAGACTTATATTTTTAATTATTTTAAAAATTTGTTCACATTACCCAGGTGCAACTGATATTTCGGAGTTGAATCTAATCGGATAATTTTGATCAAGCTCGATCGAATACCTGACACTCTGTGACAAGGATCGTGCAATCTATTTTCATCATTCCATGAACAGAATCGGTCGGTGGAACAGTAATAAAAATATGACAATCATGACAACCATTTTTAGATTTATTAGTTTAGATAACTATTATAGATGCTTTCGTCAGAAAGTTTAACTCTTTACTTTACCTTAAGAACTTTAACTCGTTTTTCATTTGTCATTTTGCACGATGACAATCGTGATGAAGGCAATTGGAAAGAGACTGAGAATAACCAATATTTAATGAGAATATATCACTTTACATTCGTATAAAATTTCAATAAAATATGTTAAAATATGTTATTGAATTCTTGACAAAGTTGTAATAGTAATTCCGTAGTATACTACAGAATCCACATGGTAGTAGATGCATAAACACGAGGTGTAAGAGACTATAATTCTTAAAAGAAATAATATTGCCTTGTGTCAAACGAAACGATAATCAGTAGGTAAGATTGAAAGGGCAATTCAATGCGAGATCTCGAACGATTTGGACGAACCGCGACTCCTTCGAATATACGTCAATCATTTATTAATAATTTATTATAATACAAAATTATTTTATATTTATT